AGGATTTAAATTTTTGAATTTTAACACCTTAGTTAATCATTAGTATTTATGATATTTTTTAATTTACTTAATAACTTCTTATGAAAAATCTACTACTTTTTCATGTTTAAACTGATAAAAAGTGTATGTACTTAATTATTATACATAAATTGTTAAAAAAAGTAGTATTAGAGTATTCTAAACTCATTTTTACAAAAACTATAAAATGTGCTCTCAAATTATTACATTCCGATAGTTTTAAGCGGTATAGATATTCGTGAATTTATTGTTTCAATGTTCTGCGTGACAGATACAACAAACCTTGATTCTACGGCGTTAAAGGGTTTACTGAGGTCTTAGACTATCAATTATATAAATATGATTGGAAATTCGTAGAGAAATATGATAAATACATTAGAATGTATATGTATATGACATTGACATGGTTATGTGCCTAATCATGTTGTGAGGGGATGAGTTGAATCCCCGACAATTAAATTCCAAGGTTTGGCCATTGGCAGTTGGCTATAATAATATTTTACAAAATATTGTACCTACGATAATAACACAAAATCACTTCTATAATTAAGTTTTTTTTTTTGTTTGGAACTTCCTAGTCGTTTCAATTTCTAACGATGATGGATAACTGATAGGCGGTTTAACATTATGAAATGTCTACATTATGTAACAAATAGTGTAAAATGTGTTCTTGCTTCTTAAAATATGTAGGAATGTTATGTAAGAAAAATATTGAATCGCTCTACGAAATAGTACGAATTTCTATTTAGCATGTGGTGCAATGAGCCTTTAGGAAATTGATTCTCAACAGGATTGCCACTTTGTTATAATAATATGGACAGTAAAAACATAACAATGCATTTTTTCTACAGCGATCAAACCAAAAATCTATACATTATAATTATATTATATATTTACCATTATAGGTATTTAATAAACCATGGTTGAAAGCATAAAAAAAAATTGTTTAAACAATAACTGTATGACGTTTGGTTATAATTTATAATACCAGGTAGAGATAGGACTTCTGCGTTTTTCCCCTTTGATTCTATAAAATAATCTCTTATAGGCTATAGCTCAAAATTCTTTATACCAATAAACTAATTTTATTTTGTATTTTTTTGTATCAATTTTCATATTATAGGACAATTTTTTTAATACTTCATTTTTAATAGTTTCATATATTTTTTTTTTTTGTAAATTAAACTTACAATTTAAATGTTTGCTATTGTCTATTAATTTTACAATTCGTGATCTTATTATTCTGACACCCATTAACACGCCTATATATATTTTAATTGTTTTGACTTATTAAAGTAAATTTTTTGTTATTTGTAGAGCAGTTTTTATTTACTGCATATTTTTGTGTTATTTATTTCATCAACACCAATATCTGAAGTTAAAAGTGTTATAACTATAGGTGTATAAAATAACTTTTTTACACTTCAAATGTAGATTCACCCTTTATTTTACAATACAATGCTTAATTAAAAAGCTTCTAATTTGAAAAAAAACTTTATAAAATCTGAATTATTATTCTAGGGTGACCTAAATTATTATTCTAGGGGTTCTTAGATAATATGAAAGGTGCCGAGGTTTTTCCATGGTTGAGAGCTTGGAACCACTACGTTAGAGTAATACATTATCTTAGAAATTCCTTTGCGTGTTGAAGAAGTGTTAAATACTTCAGAAAGGTCATTTTTGAAAAAAACTATTTTTAAAACTAATGTAGTTAAAAGTATGAATAATTATAAGTCTAAGCCAGTTTGTGGGCGATCAATTAGAATATATAATATTTATTTTATATGTAAATAAATAAATAAATAAAAAAAAATAAAAATAAAATAATTATAAAACAAGACATAGACACCAATCTAAACGGTGACACTCAAATTGCCTCACGAATGTAGGTAGGTGAACTTTTTTTACTCGAATTGCCTCCAGGTGTTTTCGAAGGCAATTCGAGTATACCCAAACAGTCTACTTGAATCCGCCTCCCATAACATACCTGGATTATTAATTATTAATTAATATATCGATAGTAGTACGTGTACTATCGATTATTATATTATTCAGCATTGTTCAAAAATAAAATGTTTAAGACATACCTACAGTATTTCCCAGACCGATTAATTTTTCGAATGCAATAAGTGATTAAATGATTATCAGTTAATGATTACTGATGATTGTATAACAGAATGATATTTTGTCATTATTATTTTTAATATTATTAATTATTACTGCTGTTTCAGTCCATTTATTAAAACATTTATTTTATACAAACTTAAGTTTTTGACTGTATAATAGAATGACATTTCATCTAAATTATGTTTGATATGTTTTTTTATAAATCGATTAATTATAGCTATCGCAGGTGATTCCAGTACAAGATTAGGTAAGTGGTATAATAGTGACCCTCTTAGGAGGAAATTCGAGTAACCTTTAAAAAAAAAACTCACGGGAGGCAATTCGAGGGTCAGATGGGAGGCAATTCGGGAGCGCCCATCTAAACTGTCTGATAGCCGATAGGTTTTTATAGTTTTAGATTCTGAGAACTACTCTTCAGGATTCTCACATTTACAGGTCAAATTTGAATCTTAAGTTCTTAAAACTGAACCAATTTTCCCAATCCTATCTCCTAAACCTATATTTTGGATTAAACCTGAATAAATTTTCAATTTGGAATAACCATATCCACGTATCAAGAGACTATAGCTTTAAATTCTCGTCTTCGCGGGCAACTTTGTCTTCTCTTAAATATTAAACCTTCCAAATTGAAGTTAGTTGATAGTTTCTATTTTTTAAAACTTTGTAAGCCACTATAGGCCTACAGGGTCCATATAGATTTAGGGTGCTACTAAAATTACAAACACTAATAAAATTAAAAAAATGTCAAAATATTACTCTAAAAAAATTTCAAATGCTGAACAAATGCCCCACTCTTTTTATATCTTACTATTCTCTGTATAAGGCCTTTAAAATAAAAAGTGACGAAAGTAGCTGCACAGACTATTAAACGCTTCTACGTATATAACCGTCTGTCCGTCTTAAAAATCACTGCAACCCACTAATAAATGGTCTTTACATCCAACTTAAACCTGCAAACCCCAAATGTCGTCTAAAAATGGAGTTGTTATTTATTATTCAATTAATATATAACATTAAATATAAAAAAAGTATAAATACAGTTAAAAAACAAATTATAAATAACCCAAGTCTATAGTTTCACTATAACGGGTGGTTTCTTACACAAATTGACAATAATACCTGTACCTAACCCCACTAGTCACTACATCATCACATATTATATAATATACCTACTATAGTAGTAGGTATAGTACTATTATTGTTTAGTGTCAGCCACATTTAGTAAAACCAAGCTCAGATCAGAATTTTTTTTCAAATGCTGTGATTTTATTTATCTTTAAAGGAATTATTTTGGTACCTACCTATTGTGAAAAACAAAATGGAGTATTCAAACTTTAGTAGATAGGTATTTACCTCTTTATGATGTCGAATAAATTATAATTTTATATACATATATTAAACATTTAAACATATTATATGGTCTATACCAGGCGTGCCCAACCCGCGGCCGCGGCCGAATCCGGCCGCGAAGTGTTCCAACCGGCCCGTGACCATTTTATAAAAATTAGAAATTTATATAGGTGTAAAAAAATGTATTTTATTAAGTTTTTAAGAATATAAAATATTTTACAATTTTTAATTTTTATATAAAAAAAAATTCATTGGATTTTAGAATATTAATAGAAATAAATTGGTGTAAATGTAAAACATGCTACCTACAAATAAATAAATAATTAAATAATTTAAGTATATAATACATTTTAGAATATTAATAGCAATAAATTAGTGTGAAATTTGGGATTGTTTTTCTTTAACAAATCTTTCAATATTCGGAGTGAAATGTGTAACGCCAATTCTTAATAAGGAGTGTAAGTGTTCATCGGTCAAACGAGATCTTTCTGAACATTTTACGTAATTCATGCGTGAAAACGTTTGTTCGCAAATATAAGTAGAACCAAATAATGTAAATATACGCATTGATAATTCTTTTATTTTTGGAAAATCATCAGTAAGAGTCTTATAAAAATGTATTAAATCTGTATTTTTATCTGTGATATCTTTATATAAATCTTTCAAATAATTATTTGTGTTTAAATCAATAAGTTCAAGTTGAACAGTTTCATGAACATTATTTTCAGAAATGGATTTTCAATCAGCCGAAATGAAGTCATATGTGATTTGAAATCTTGGAAACGGTTTTCAAATTCTTTTAATAATTGTTCCAACATACTCACAAAATGATTTGTCGGAACGTCAATTAAAGAATTTTGTTTAATTTCTTGACACGTTTTAAAATGTAAAAAATTTTGCTTTAATATTTGGTTTTTAAAAAGTTGTAATTTTATTTCAAACGATTTTACATCACTTATAAGCTCGAAAATAGTTTTTGATTGTTTTTGAAGTTTAAGATTTAATTCATTTAAATGAGCAGAAATATCAGTTAAGAAAGCAAGATCGTACATCCATTGTTCGTATAGACTCTATAATCTATATAGATGTTCAATTTAAAATATGTTTATTAAATTGGTTTAAAATCAACATTTATTCAACAAAATATAATTGTGTGACGTGCTTAAATAATTATTCACATGTAATATTTAGTAGGATTGGTAAAAGTATTTATACTTTTTTTTATAAGTATTAAAAATAATATTAATATAATCCTTAATTTGTAATCAAACTTTGTAATAATAATAATTAATAATCGTCATTAACATAGTACTTAAATACAAATACAAATGCATAGTATCCTTAACGATAATAATAATAACAATTTCTGGTAAATATCAAGACAATAATAAATCTCATCGTTAATACCTATATTATAGGTAAAAAAAATTGTTTTTACACTAAAGAACAGGGTTGGTTTACATATATTATAATATAGGAAATGTGATTTTCGGAGTACGGTTTTACTAGTCCGATGATAGTAACTCTTGTTCCAAATTTGAGGGATTTTTTGTACTATTACCCGATTCGAATCCACCATCGTTGCTCGATGCATAGTCATTTTCGGCTTGATCGGGATCGTCAAAACTGAAACGAATACCAATAAAAAATAATTATTGGATGTTTTTGTTATCCAAACAATCAAAATATTTTTAACAAAAGATAATTCCCTGGTATAATGCATTTCATATACATAGAAGATGTTTTTCAGATGTCAAAACATATATTTTTTAAGTAGTTACTATTATTTTTCATATTATTTAAGATGTGTCGATATTTTAATATTATATTCAATATTCATAGCCTTTTCTAAAAGCCAAAGAGGTAAAATAGGTTCAATTACTTATCGTGGGAGAGGGGGAGACTTTTTTTTTTATAAATATTGTGTAATATAATATCATCACATTTTGTTGGAACATTTAATTATGAACTAAAATGATTATTGCTTACTGGATGATAAATTATGCATTTTATTTATTATACCTCAGTACAAATTTTTACCCATAATGATTTATTATAAAAAAATATGTGAATTTTATAAGACTTATATTTTAATTTTTTACATAAGATTTATTCAAATTTAATTAGGCATCTTGAGAACTGAAGATTATTACAACCGTTATTTACATGAGGTAGTTAAAATACACGATTTTCTTACGTAAATGGTTTTTGCTCGCCTCTCATTTCACATATGACGTTAGTCAAGGCCATTATGTAGTTTTTTGCCAATGTCAATGTTTCCAACTTTGATAGTTTACGTCCCATTTTTACGTGGGGCACCACTTCACGCAATTTCTATAAAACAAAAGTACAATAATTGTTTTTAATGTATAAATATAATGTCGAGCATATAGTAATATCACTAATTTCAATTTGTCATATTATTAAAGATGATCATATTTCTTATTTAATCATATTTTTCTGATTTGTAATGTTAATTAAACCTAATAACAGTTATTTCAATAGTCCACAGGATTATACCATACGCTAGCATTAAATCTAAATGGCGACGTAATTTTCAGGTGTTGAACCAACTCCTTCAAACTATGGCATAGGCAATAAAAAGCAGGCATTCACTTTTAGTAGTTTAAAAACAATTTCATGAAATATCGAAAACATTACCATAATATGTATGCGGTATGCCTTACGATACATTATAGATTATATTATATTAATCGAACTGATTACATAGTTAGTGAAATTCAAACACAATAGTGAACACTTTGACAGCACAGAGTTTAAATAATTATAAATAATCATCACTCGGTGTGGTGCAAAACATCACTGTTGATAATATGATGATGTAATTTAACAGTACCGTCCTTAGAAAAATTTGAAGATCTAATAACAATGTCCGGCACCAAGCCATTACGATTTAAAATCATTACATGGACTGTATTTAAATATTGTCAGAGTCCCTGAAATTATTGGAAATTGATTGAAATTGGAGGCAATGACCCAGTTTGCTCTATTTAATTCGGTACTGCGAGTAATTAATTATACGTTTAAAGCACACTTCTTAAGGACATAACATATAGGCAATACACACCTGTGGTTTTGAACCAAATATCTTCAAATTGATGTAAAGAAATCATTTACAGAATTCCAAATGATTGAAGATTGTATACAATTTATAACCTATTATATAATATTATAATATATAGGTAGGTAATAATATACCTCTTACGAATTGCGTTCCAATGTAAATAGTTATATAAATAGCTTTATAGAGTTAATAATTAAATTAATTTATTCATTTGTATAATGGGTTTCAATTAGCAGAGAATCATAAACTATAGTAATCCAGAATTACCAAAAAATTAAGTTTGGTGAGGTTCTAGTATTTATGAATTTAAAAAAAGGATATGTACCTAAACTTATTAGCAAATTTTATAATTTTTGAACAATTAATTAAAATAATAAGAGTTTTTTACTGGAAGGATAAATTTATCAATTTTTTTACCAAATAGTTATAAAGTTACTTCCTATAATTAAATATTTATATAGGTATGAGGCTAATATATTTATATACCTAACATAACAAATAAAAGTTGATAAAAAATGTAAAGTTGCAATTGAGATTAATTAACAAATGTCAGTTATATATTATATTTAGAATATAGACATTAGATTTATAGACTGTTATTGACAATTAACAGTCATTATATTGTATTTTCTGATTTTCTGATTTTCATATCAAATTAACTTATATATTATTAATATCAATTATTATTAAGCTTTTCACTGTCAAACTGATTTTAACACTGCAATATTATGTCCCTGCCACATAAATTTGACTATTTTTTAAAATATACTTATACCGTGGTTTTCCAAAATATTATACGTATACCTATATGATATATTTATATATCTTATAGTTATACATTTATGAAAAAGGGAACATGAGGTATTCCTGAAGGTATCCTTATGGCTACGTTTACTGTCATACGTCATCGAAAATATCAACAATTTACATAAAAATGGTACAAAATTTACATCACTACTTATGCAACAAACTAGCATGGTACCTACAATTCTTCGGGTCCTTTAGTTTCGAGTCATGGTAGTTCCATTATTAAACTGTGTCATTACAGTATTATAAAGTTCATTATTATATCGATGTGTGACTCGTATGCATATGTAACGGCTACAAAAGTGAAGGTAGGTACGCGTTTTAAAATATTTGGTTAACGGTAGATAGCATAAATGGTTCACGCCGTCAGATAGTGAAAAATAATATGATAATATAATATTATAAGTACCTGTATGAAAAAAAAAACCGAAGACAACCATTATATTATCTATTATTCGATTTTTCCGTCACTGTAGCAGTTTGGTAGGGGTTCTACGACTGACTATGAGACTTGGATATTATGGCGGTTAGGTACGCATCGTCGTAACAATGTTATAAATCCGAAAAATATGTTATACACAAGATTATACGCCGTATTTTACACTCGAAATATTTAACACGATGGTTTTTATTTTTCTACCAAATCTCACGCGTAATCGATTTCACAGCGTACTTACATGTACCTATCTATAAAATTATAACGAGGTGAGCGGGTCACTGTCTAGTCATATTAACCTGTGGTGTGCTATTACCTCGAATGCATCGTTCAATGAGTGCATGCGTAATCGTTCGCGTTCGTTGCTCTCCAACCTTCGCAAGTTTCGGTCTTTGGCCGTCAACACCTCCACCGATTGCCTTTGCCGGATGCTCCTGCGACATTTTCTGGTTTTCGTCGCAATCGGTTCTTCGCCGTCATCCTCGTCTATGCTCGCCCGTCGTTTTCGCTTGCCCGCCACATGCCTTCGCGATTTCTCGTCTGAACTCTCCGAATCGCCTATATACAATATACAAGTCCATAAGTGTTTATAATTGATTGTTGCCGCTGCATAACTTCATATATTACATAATATATATACCTACACTAAGAATATTAATAACTAAAACGATAGAGTTCAAAACTTTAAAAACAAGTGTAGGTACTTAAGTAAGTACTCCCGTTAAGTTAAATTATAGTGTGACGTGAACTTTAAAATATAAATCGGAAGTAATTAGTCAAAAAACCTACTAAGATAAATAACCTACTTATTAAATGGACTTTTATACAGCTTACTTGAATCAATAGGTACACATAATCTACACATACTTTAATATTTGTGTAAGATGGCATTGTGCAAAGGCCCAAGCTCATCACATCGTAAAAGTGCCCATCAAGCACTTTAAAAAACTTATACTTAAATAATAATGGTTTTATAAGTTAAAATATTCATTCTACAGTGGTAAACTTAACACGTCATACTAAAAAACTTATTGGTAATTTAATAGAATGTATTCAGTTTCTACGAGTATTAGGTATAATACAAATATAAGATAATTAAAACTCATTTCTATGGAGTATAAAAATTTTAGATAAAAAGTAAAATATGAAGGACACAGGAATGAATATTTCTGGGAAGAAAATATTTGGATGTTGCAACGTGGATGTTGTGTATTAATTTTAAAAATGTGCACCCATGTTGTTTTTGGAATACATTCGCTTTTCTAAAAGGTAAACCATATTTTTGAAAATAAAATCCAAATATGACTGTAAACACATAATAGATTCGGGTGTTTGAAATAATAATAATAATAATAAAAATAAATAAAATTTTAATTGCTAATATATCAATCTACTGTTAACTAGCTTTAATTGGCACACTTTTAATATTTTCGTCATCGTCTTCGGACACATTATTGTTGTCTGGGTGGTAAAACGAACCATCATCTGTGCTAGGTGATCTTGAGTGATCAGTAGAAACTTCGAAAGATCGTCCACGAAGTTGAAGTCCGTCTAACATTTCTTCTTCTGATTGGAGATCACTCGTGGCCGGCATAGAAATTGAATATCTGAAACATTGTAGGTATATTGAAAATTAGAGTAGATACATTTAAAGTTTAAAGTTTAAAACCATCTAAAATTGATGAAAATAATTTTTAATTTAGTATTATTATTTATTATAATATTTAGTATTATATTAAGTATTGAACATGTGTCTAAAATGTACCTATACATTATGCATTATTTAAGTTTAATTTTTTTACCTAGATTTATTATTATTTACATAAGGCAGTAAGCTGTAAATTGTTGATCTTATCACAACAGTTTTGATTTTAAATACTCGGTGATTTAGTCTTATTTTTTTTCATACAAATTACTTTAGTCTATACATATATTATATTATATACCTATGTATAAATGTATTTATTATATTATATAAACTGAAAGTAAATAGCATAAATAGCACTGACCATAAGTTACGATTACTTAGACTTGAAATTATAAATGTAGTATAATATATTAGGTACTATTAATACAACATCTATTTAAAATCCAAGTTTATGTCTAATCTGTCAAATTCTGTCAATTTATATTTATCTAAGAATCTGAATTTCATTTTAAATGTATTATCCCCTAATAACTAGTAGCCGGTAGGAAATACCTATTTGGTAAAACCTTCGTAATTATGTGTACCTAGGTAATGTATAAGTTATTCAAACCATTGATGAAGGTGAACTAAAACTATTTCTTCGATATAAATAATATATTTATAATATTTCTTAGAAAACACAGTCATTCTAAAATGCAGTTTACGTTTATTGGAAGTTATTATTTGAATTACAAGTTGTCGATTGAATTCAAGAAAAGGCTTGTGCAAACTAACACTATTGAAATTCTATGTTTTGTCATAAATTTGTATAAGCATAAGTCCATAACCCCAGCACATCCATTTAAGTTTTAAATATTAATGTATAATAATATAGAGTATAATATTATTATTTAGTGGTTCCTAACCTTTTTCTTAGAACATCACTTTAAAAAATATCCTTTTCCGAAGTCTACATATTAAACAAACAAGCAGTAAACAGATAAAATAAATGTAATAATCATCACTTATTTAGTATGTATATATTATTTGTAATTACTACTGGCCACTAGGTATATATAATTATTTATTAAATTTAAATTTATAATTTATTATGAAAAATTAATAATCATAATTAGGAAATGAGTCAAATAATATATGAACTGCTATCAATTTATTATTATAAAAATACATTGCATTAGACAATACAACGATCAATTTTTAAATTCAAAAATAATAACTTTGTAACAGCTACCTTTCTTTTTATTTAATACATCTCAATCGGCTGCAATGCTGCATAGCTAGTCGAGTCCCAAAAACAACTACAAAAAAACTTCTAATCCGAATATTATGGGTAAATATTATAGACATTTTATAGTTGAATTACCTATTTGCCTGCAGATTTGGCACAACCTCACTGGATCGGCTGAATAGTTCTAGACTTCTAGCATTGATTATACATATTAGTATTTATAATCAACACTTCTAGTGACACTGAATACTGATTGACAATATCACGCATTTTAGAAATATCGTGGTACCTATATATCCATTATCTGATTATATAACTAATATATTTATATTATAGTCGTAGATCCAGTATTGACGAGTTCTAAAATATTGAAATTTGACTGGAGCTCAACCAATTAATACCAATAAACGAAGATTTACTTACATTAGTATTTAACATTTTAGGGTCAGAAAGGTATCAACATTATTTATATTAAAGGCTAAAAATAATAATAATAATATGATCTGAAGAGGATTAAATCCGTTTTTAGATTATATTAATTACCTATACATTCAAGGTTATTTATTATATTTCTTTTAGAGTTAGTTAATTCATTTTTTTTTTTTATTGAAAATTAATATTAGTAATTATATGAATATAATTACACTGCAGGGATTTTAAAGTGTTCTGCAAATATATAATTGCATGGTATCCATGATAAATTGTAAATAAAGTACTCGCTTAAATCAAAATAGTATTATAAAACTATATATCTACTTAGTAATTGTATAATTATTGGATAAGTCCTTAAAATATACAAAATATAATTGTAGGTCACTGCCCTGTAGGTATAATATAAATTATAATAAATTAACTTTAACAGACATTCATATAATTTAATTGTTTATTAATTATTGTTATAGTCAAAGATTTGTTGAATAGTTCTTCGAATTAGCTACGTGGTTATATCAAACATTTATAAGATGGCTAAAAGCTTTTAATTTGTAATATTATAGTACTAATGTATTATCATGTATTCAATGAATACTATTCATGTTATCGGCGTTTTTAATATTAATATCCATCAATCTCAAAATTAAACACGAAAGGTTAGGTTAAGAATATACTATAGGCAATAGGCTTATTGACATTTTAAATGTTAACCTGGTCTATTTGAATTTCTAAGAATAATAGTTATGTTACCTATGCATACGGCATTAGCAAAATACGATTCGCATGTTAGTTTATTATTACAATCACACTGATATTTCGGTTAAAATTAAAGATTATAATTAGCTCTAGCTTGGGCTATTTTCTTTAAATTAAATTAAATTTTTTTTTTTTTTGAACTGTTTCAAAAAATACGATCAAAATGGTTATCTTGGAAATTTAAAAAAACTTATTTGCTTAAAAAAATGTTTGATAATTTTTGAATTTTTGAAAAAAAAAACGAATATTATGCTATTTATTCAGAATTTCCATACTTATGACTGTAAAAAAAAACTACATTTAAATATATTGATTTTCTACGGAGATACTAAGGGTGATACGGGACTTCTGGGACATACTGTATAATAGGACGTGTTGTATATAAATGAAAACACTCTAATACTAACAGCGGGTAGGTGTTGATATAATATTATCTCCATATGGACACATATTCGTCAACTAACAATCAAAATATTGCAGATAGCGGCAAAAGTTCATCGGTGTTATATGTTAATGTAGCAGGTTAAAATTAAAAATACCTCGTATACTTATACTATACTCGGTCACCACGAGATAGCCGTCATAGATAAGTGTTTTAAATAATCAAATTGTTGTTATTATGCAAATTTTGTTGTTTTGTTTTGTTTTTCAAAGACTTGTATTTCATGTACTTTCGTGTATTTACTTATTAGTTATTAAGATAATACTGTGTACTACGATTAGTAATTAGTATAAACTATCAAGTATAATGATGGCAAAGTATATAATTTATAACGAAATATGCACTTCTATTAGTGTGTGTAAAACGTCGCTGGTTAAAACGTTTCGACGGACTATTATATTAATATACACGCTGCGTTATAGTAACAGTTTACAATAAAATGTGCGAGACGTGAAAGAGATTGAAAAATAAAAAATATCTATTGCGGAAATGATTTTTTTTTTGCGATACAACGTTTGATTATTACGGTTTAGAAACGGTCGGGAAATGATTCGACCGATTTTGAACGCTTTCCCTATAGAACCCATTCGAAGACGTCGAATCGACTAACCTAAAATCAAAGACCGACAGAAAATTGAGTTTTTTCTGTATAAACTAATGTTCACGTGTCGTTGAACACGTTTCTCAACGATTGAACTTGTTACAAAATTGCTTAACTGCAATAACTAGTAATGACTAATGAAGAAAAAACGGCAACGCACATTTCCATAAAATAAATTGGAATTTTTAATTTTAGTGAATAAATTTATAAATATCTAATTATACTTTCTAAACACTAACTAATTATATTATCGAATACGTTATATTATACAGGCGTGTACCTACTGTGTAGTGTGTACTGATACGAGCTAAGAAAAAGAAATAATAAAGCGTTGTTAACATAATATTATATTAATGATAATTCGATTAAATCATCGTACATAATGTTTTGAAGCTTTCATACATTAAAGTAAGAAAAATATCACGTAAATAAAGTTATTAATGTCAATATTTTTTTTTGATAATCAAACAACTTGACATTTTGTTTTAAACTTTGAAGTTATTTGATCAATTTAAAAAAAGAATACATAACGATTAAGGTTTAAAGAATGTTTAACTAAAATGTAATGAATAATAATTAATAATTATATAGAACAAAAATATAGTCCATAATTATTATTGAAAAAAAACCTATTAATTTATTTATAAACATTTAAGTAGTTAAGCATGATTCAACTGTATATATAAGCTAAGATAGTTAGTTTTATACTTTTATAAGAATATATCAAAACAAAATATAAGAGTACTGAGCAAATAGGTATACCTTATTTAGAGTATGAGACAGACATTTTATCTACGAAAACGTTCCCAATAAAAAAAACTATCACTGTACACCAGTAGGTACATTCCACTGTTCGGCTAAAATTAAAAAGATACATAACAATATTTATACCTACCTAATGTATGTATCATGTATCTAATATGTTTTATTTCGAAATCCGAACTAAATATGACAATATATTTTAAATTGTTCGTAGCTACACTATTTATGTGTGATTATGTCTAATATTATATTAATATTCAAACCACACGAGAACATGACATTAACGCTATAAAATATTGTTATTTTGATCACGAATGTACTTTGTAAGAAGGTAGGTATAATAGGAATACTACATAATATATTACTATTTAAAGATAAAATAATAAGGACGCATTGTATGTAAATACAAATTTATCGCTGAATGAAGAAAACTGACCGTTTAAATTTAATATAGGTAATTGTTCAACAGACATTTTGTGGATAAAATGAGAAACAGGTGAGTTAGGTTAGATACAGACCTATCTAGAATTAAAATATTTAAAAATTATAATGAATAACCTACAGGCCATAAAACAAATTACCCATAGTGTAGAATAACTTAATATCAAATAAACATTAGTTACAACTTTCAAGCTCATCAAGTATATAATAATATATATTATATGTATATGCTTGAATGCGAATGAGCTGCGTTCATAATAAAAAGTGAATTATAAAAAAAATAT